TTTCAAAGTAGAAAACACAGGGGAAATCGAACCTTTTAGCTCCATTCTCATTCTCTGAAAGTTAACAATGGCAATGTTGCCATTGTTACACATAATCCCAAACCAATCTGCACATGGGTAGTTCCCTTCCCAAAACAATAGATTAACTCAAGTTTGAGTGTGTCTATGTTTTGAGTGTGTGTGTGTGTGAGAGAGGATATTTTATTTTTCTTTTATTTTTAAATGTTGGTAATAAAACAAAAATGAAAAATTAAATAATATGGGCAAAATCGTATTTACAAAAATGTTCAAACCAAATTGGACCAAACTCCCAAGAAAATGAAACTTTTGAGCCACTAGTGTTAGTTCAAACTTTTTTGGCCAAAACATACAAGTTTTGACATACCACGTGGACCATTCTTGCAATTTTGTCTAAAATAAAATTTAGTACCTATTGTGCTCAACCTACTTACTTTACATCATTTCCTTTTGTGACCTACTTACCCTAGAGATGCACACCAAAATCGAATCCCGATTTGAAACAGACCCGACCCGAAAACTGATTTTGGTCAAAACTAGATTTGACCAAACCGGATCGGATTAAATCCGATCCACCAGATTCAAACCGGATCCTAATCCTACGAAAAAAAAAATCAGATTTGATACCGGATTTACTAAAAACTGGATCCAAACCCGCCCCAAAATCCACTTAAACCACTAAAAATCAGTTTAAACCGATTTGAAATCGAATTAGAATTAGATTCAGATTTTTGTTAGAACCAGATCGGATTTTGACCAGATCAAAATTTTTCATAACATAATCAAAACCGGATCGGAAATCAACATATTGCATTTGTGCACCTCTAACTAGCTTGTAACAAAATGTTAAGTCCGAATTAAGTTTGGTATGTTTGTTTGACCTAATTTCAAGATTAAGGACATAATATTATTTTACTTTATTTTACTTTGAGGAAATTTTTATTCATCTTTGATCATCTAACATGTTTGGTGCTAGTATATTACGAGTATCTTTCTATGTTAAGAACATTACAATTTTTTTTTCTAACTCACACATCCTCTTTAAATACTTTAAAAAAAAAAAAAAAAAAAAAAAAAAAAAAAAAAAAATCCATTGGCCTCTTGCCCTTGACCTCTCAAGAATAGCCAAGTGCTACTGCTCTCAATCTCTTCTTCATTTTCCCCTATTTCACAGACAAACACAAACCCAGAGGCAGGAGAAGAAATCAACGACGCAGATACACTCCGATTGATTCCCTCGTCACCAGATCTCCGACCTTCCCGACCGAGCGATCCCGAAATCATGTTTCGTCAAGTAGCTTCTCGCCTCCTTACTCGCCCTACCACCACTTACTCCGCCGCCGCTTCCGCCACCACTCGCCGTCCATTCGCCACCGAGGTTGTGGCCGATACCACATCGGGAGACGAAGCTTTTGTAGAGGCTTGGAAGAAGGTTGTTCCCAACATAGATCCACCAAAGACTCCTAGCCAGTATATGCATCCTCGTCCTCCTACCCCTTCCACTTTGCCCACTAAACTCACTGTCAATTTCGTCCTCCCTTACGCTTCTGAACTTTCTAAGAAGGAGGTTAGTTTTATTGTTTTCATGAATTATGCAAACTCGTTTTCGTTGTGCATGATAAAATTAATCGATTTCATTAGATTATTAGGGTTTGTGTTTTCTGATAATGTAATTGCTTAGTTATTTATAATCAAAGAGGCTGAAGTTAGGTTTCAATAACGTGGTTAGGTTATTTTAATTAATCCATACAAGTTTACAATCTGTCTGAGTATTTGGCATTGTAATCAACCAGATTCATTTGGGGTTCTTCACTTGCTGTTATTTATAAGCTGTATAACAATGCTGTCTTCATCCTCTTCCATCTCACCAACCCTTATTAGCCTTGATTTGAAACTTCATTGAACGTGCTTGTTCTATTTCAAGTTTCAAATGGGTTGATACACTAATGAAGCCTGTTTGATTTGGGTTTCTGTATGTTATCATCTCAACATGATGTTACTAATCAGTCGCTAGATAATACTATTATTAAAGTCTTGATAGCTGTTTTGTGCTCGATTTGGTTTCAATCTCAATTTGTGTTTCAACCAGTCAAATCTGTAGACCTTCACCTTGCAATTGGTTTTCAAACTCAGTAAGTGGTCAAGTAAATTTTCACTATTCATGAGGCTGTGGAAGTTGAATTGTGGTTAAATGCCTTGGTTAGTTCAAGTTTTAATTGTTGTATATAGTGTAAACTTATAATGATATCCATTAAAGGTTAAAGGTTATTTTACGATTTCAACCTTGAAATGTTACAGGTTGATATGGTGATAGTTCCAGCAACCACAGGGCAAATGGGTATTTTACCAGGACATGTGCCAACAATTGCAGAGCTTAAACCGGGTCTTCTCTCAGTCCATGAAGGAAATGAAATCAAGAAATATTTCATCAGCAGTGGCTTTGCTTTCATTCACCCAAACTCTTATGCAGACATATTGGCTGTTGAAGCTGTTCCCCTTGACCGAGTCGACCCAGCCCAGGTACAAAAAGGGCTAAGCGAGTTCACTCAGAAACTGAGTTCAGCCACAACTGACTTGGAGAAAGCTGAAGCCCAAATTGGGGTTGATGTTCATAGTGCTCTTAACTTTGCCCTTACTGGTTAGAGTAAGGTGAGTGATTGCGTAATTGGTTTGCTTTGTTTTGTGATCCTTTTTGGATTAAATAATAATATGCCATTTTAAATGGCTATTTGGGAGATTTTTGTGGGGGATGAATTTCATTTGATATCATATTTATACCTCTTTTGTTGTGGTAAGTTGAAACGGAATGTTGAGAAATGATATTTAGTTGCTTGAAAGTGTGTTTAGTTCAAAGAAATATCAAATAATAGAAAAGACATTGTGATACAATCTTTATGGTCTTTTAAAAACATACAAAATACATATGTGGGCTAAAAAATAAAGAAAAATTAGTTAATTGAAGAAAACTTTGAAAATAAGGTTGTTTATATTTTGAGTTTTTTGCAATATAATGTCTATTTTCATGCTATAAATAAATATATTTTTATGTCTTTCATCTAGTTAATAAATTAGTTTATCAGATGAATCTACATTTTTAGCTTCTATCAAACATTGTGAGAGGCTAAATTAAAAAATAGCAACATCTTACAACTTAGAATGCAGCAGGAGGAAGGTTTAGGTAGGCCTTTTAACGTTGTTTTAATACAAGATGAAGATGAAGGTATAATCTGGTCTTGAAAATGATTTAGCAAATTTTATGTTACTCGAGATTTGCATTAAAATTAAGTGACAATGCTACCAGGTTTTTGTGATTTAACCTTCAAATTTTTTTTTTAGATTGTTTAGATATTAAACTAACAAAAAAAAAAAAAAATCTTACATGAAGAGAGACATACAATTTAGAGATCCACTCTCTATAATAGTGTACGCACCAATTAGTATTACATACAAACAAACAATAAGAAATTGGCCTAAACTATGTTGCTATGGTATACATAATGCATGCATTTATCCCAAAATTGAATACATCTCCCAACACTATTTCTTAAAACAGAAAATGAAGAAAACAAAGATTTCCTAGTAATAGTGGAAAATGAAACATATATCCAAATCCAAAAAGCATCTACAATACATACATGAGACATAAAAATCTAATTACCTCATCAACAACAATAGCCATAGGTAGATTTTATTATAAAGTAAGGTTGTAACATCAGCCATTAGTTAAGTCCAGTATTTGTGAAAGTTGGACTTTTCATTGAACTTGGCTAAGGCTTCATCACAATCCCAACTAAAGACCATTTCTACCAATGCATTTCCATGCTCCAGGGGCAAGGTGGTCGTTACCAGCAAGTAAGAGCACCCTGTTAGTGGAGGGGCAATTTGGGAATTCTCTCTCTCTCTCTCTCTCTCTTTTTTTTTTTTTTTTTTCTGTTACATCTGAAACCTATAGATAGTGGGTGATGGATGAAATTTTGGTATCTTTTGGGAGAGAGCTAGCTCTCAAAAACTAGCATATGTAATCCCTTTGATTTCCTTATGAAATTTGGATTCTGTTTTCTGTGTGCTTTTGTTCGTTAAGAGTAATTTCTACCCTAGTTCATAGCAGAAACATGCAATATCTAGATCTCAAATAAAAGCATAAGTTTTACATGTTTGGAATTCTTGAAATATCTATTTATTGGCTCAATAAGTTTGAAGAGGATGATTAATGTAAAAGTTAAGTTGCTGTGTTTAATCCAATCCTTTTCACCTGAAAGTGACCTCATGATAATTTGTCTAAAAGCTTTCTACATGAGATGTTTTATCATTTATGTGCAAGCAATAGTCCATATCCATTACATAGTTAGAATTTAACCATTACAAAGGTCAAAAAATATAATCACATTGCACTTTAAATGGCAAAGATTAAGTTTATCCATCATTACAAATTTCAAAACAATAGATTTACCATATTTCAAAGCAAACTACTTTGCTGTTTCTAGGGCCATTCTATTTGCATTTAAAAAAAAAAAAAGATTTACATGTAGCCAAAAGTACAAATGGGATATGACCTGACTGCATTAAAAATTAGATTATAACCAAACAGATTCGAAAAAAAAAAAAAAAAAAAGTACATTGTTGACTTGATTCTGGATTTAAGATCCTAATCAGAACTAACAGATTTAACAACCTAGTTTGAAGCAGCAAAATACGTGGGTAAATTTCATGTTTAATATCCTACTTTAGAGCATAAGTAGAAACCAATTGACAGAAGCATCCTACTTTTTAACTTTAAATATATATATAAAATGTAATGCAATGAGCCAATAAATTGGTAACTGGCATAGGTAAACCTTAAGACAAAATCATACTCCAAAACTCAACAGTATAATATATAACAACCAAACCACACTTGACACCACTTATATGTTGGTCATTCGAAACAAAAGCATACCAAGAAATTTTGCACAAGAAAAATGCCATAATTCATAGAAGAAGAGAGAGAGAGAGAGAGAGAGAGAGAGAGAGAGAGAGAGAGAGAGAGAGAGAGAGATATTACTAAGAAATATGAAGCTTCAAAACTAGTACTATAGATGCTTTGGAGTAACAGCTAATAACACCATAGCATGAAACAGCAATTGATAAGATATGATCCACAACCTAATTAAACAAAGTCTACTCTACTTTATAAAATAGATCAGAAAATGAGATGGAAATAGTTATGGCTATGGTCATAGAATCCGGTAAGCTTTCACATTTGATGGAGAAACGTAACCTTTAGCCTCCAAACAAAAAAGAACCTACCAACCAAAGAGAAACAAGACAACAACAAAAGCGACAAAAAATAAAATATTAGGAGCATTCATTAAAAAAAAGAAAAATGGAAGAGCATTTTTATTTTTTTTTACCTTGGAACATAAAAGCCCAAGTTGAAGCTCCTTGACATGGCGAAGATTCATTATACATCTTTTAAGCACCTCTTCTTCCACTTCATTAGGCGGTGTCTGGAGATGCTCGGGCTTTGTACAAGAATAATCTAAGTGAGCTTTGACTAAAGAAGACACATTCAGCAACAAAGGCTTACACAAAAAATTCCAACCTCCCATTGTTAGTGATAAAATATTAGGAGCATTGATTTCAATAATATCGGCTTCAGATTTACCATAAGGAACCTCATATCCAAATATCACCAAGTTTTTAACACTCTTTGAAGTAATATTGAGCAGCCTATAACCATAGCAAAGGTTCAATTCCAAAGTTTCCAGTACAGGAGTCCCAGATAATATGTTTTCAATCAGATCTTCATCTAAACTCCGATACTCGGATATACACAAACTCCTAAGACTTTTCCAACTAATCCCCCCTACTGGATTAAGCATGAACCCACCTACACTCAGCTCAGTAAAACATGAACTGGTGAAAACAATCTGATCTAACATAAACTCATCATCATATATGTTATTACAAAACCTCAAGTGAAGCTCTTTAACATTACATCTTATAGCATAGAGAATACAATTGTTGAGCTGCGGTTGAAATTGAATACCATAATTGGTAGACACTTTGAATTTCTTCAACTGCTTCAATTGGCGACATTGAGTTAGTGATAAACTAGTAGGACCAAATTCAGATGAAGTAATATATGGCCACCGGCAAATTTCCAACACCAAAGTTTCCAATAGAGGACTCCCAGATACTATATTTACAATCAACTCTTCATCTACATTCACCCTGGAAATACACAAACTCCTAACATTTTCCCAACTAATCGCTCCTGTTGGATTCAACTTGCATCCTGTTAGTCTCAGATCAGTAAAACATGAATTCATGAATACAAATTGATCTAACAGAAACTCAGGCTCATCTTTCATCCCCCAAATGTTCAAGTTAAGCTCTTCAACGTTACGACTTATAGCATAACGAATCCAATTGTTAAACAGTGATTCAAATCGGATATCATTAAGGGTATGCACTTCGAATTTCTTGACCTTCAATTGGCGACATTGAGTTAGGGTTTTGTCAACCAATAATGCGAATTCGTCCCTTGACTTAGGGTTTTTGAGACGTTGAGCTGGGGGATGATAAAACATCAGAGTAGGTACCCAAGTCCAAAGATGTTCCCATCGCTTGGAGAGCGTACCTGTTCTAATGGCGTATTTTGTTGAGGGTAATCGAGAGAGGATTTCAATAAGCAAACAATCAGGCAACTCACTGACTCTATCATCATCCTCCTTCTCCATGATTTCTTGAAGTTTAGTCCGTTTGTCGGCAATTTCAGGTTGATTTTGTCCTTCTTCCGACATCTGCAACAGAGCTTCGTTTCTTTTCCCCATGAACAACCGCAGAAAACCCAATTTTCGTATATTTATACGATACATACGAAAGTTTTGCTTTACCCCCCTCAACTTGGAAAATATACTATTCAGTCTACTAAAATAAAAGAATAAATTTATAAAAATCATTAAAAAAAAAAATTAGTTAATTAGAGAAATCTTTGAAAATCATAACAAAAACGTAAATACTTATGACGGCTTAATGGGTTAAAACAAATCATGTAATTTTGAAGTAAATTATGCATAAACTAATTTATAAGGGCTGTTTATATTTTGAAACTAATGTATTAGCTTTGTTTATATTTTAAGTAGATAAAATTGCAAAAATGGTCCCTGTGGTATACATTTTTTTGGGGGGTTTTAGTTTAAACCCCGACTTTTTTGGATTGATAGCATTTTTGAGTTACTTTGCTTGTAGTTTTGGTCTCTGTCCAAACTAAAAAGACTATTATACCCTTATTGAATTTATTTTTCATTTTTATTTCACTTTTAATATTATTATTATTAAATATAAAAGTGGACCCACTTATCCACCCAACCTACCTCTAAGTGGGCCCACTTATCCAATCCACCTACCTCTCTCTCTCTCTCACACACACACACACACCAATTTCATAACCTTGAAAAGTAACACGAAACCCCTAAAACAAAATCAAAACCTACTTTAACGAGATTAAGATTGAAACCCTGTGATTAAATGTGGATGATGATGATGAGGTTGTTACAGATGAAGCATGTCGCCTATGAAAAAAACAGATAAAATTATTCATGCTTGGGTCTATAAAATGGTTGCAATTCTTGAGGAAACAAATAAAAGATTGAAACCTGGTTATCCATTGAGAGATATCATTTGTAAAATGGTTGTATTGTTGTAATTCTTGGAGATAGGGTGATAATTATCTCCATGATAGTCATAAGTCATGGCCTTGATGGATCCCTTAACTCTGAAGTCGTTGGTTCAACTTCAAACACCCTGTTAATCGAATAGTCGTGTGCTCCAAAATCCAAATCAATATGTCATACCATACTGTAACAGTTTTCCATCAATTGAATTAAAACCCAAAACGATAACCTATAAGTATCGAATTGACCTGCACAAACCCTAGATGAATCTTCAAAATGAAGAATTCTTATAGAGAACAGAGGAGAGAATAGAGCGATGGGATCCATGATCGGTTTCAGGATCCAAATGAAGAAGATGTGTTGCTGAAGAGGAGCATTGAGATCGAGTGAAACAAGAAGAAGAAATGGTAGATGGCGTAGATGTACATGATTTCCTTTTGAACATCATCAAGCTTGGTTTCTTTGAGAGTTTCTATTCAACATCAATCTAGGTTTCGTTAATAGTGATTCTTGGGTAATATAACGGGTTGGTGGGTTCTTGAAGGGGAAGGAGGTTTCATCTGGGTTAATGAGAGAGAGAGAGAGAGGTGGGGCGGATAAGTGGGCCCACTTTTATATTTAATAATAATAATATTATTAAAAAGTGAAGAAAAATGAAAAATAAATTCATTAAGGGTATAATAGTCTTTTTAGTTTGGACAGGAACCAAAACTGCAAGCAAACTAGCTCAAAATGACCATTAATCCAAAAAAGTCGGTGTTTGGACTAAAACTCAAAAAATACATACCACAGGGACCATTTTTGCAATTTTGTCTTTTAAGTATTGATTTATATTTTTCATTTAGTTATCAACTTTTTATCAAATGTTATTATTTTATTAGTTATCATCTAGCTTATAAAAAAGAATAATAGTTTTTAGCTAGTAAAACAGAATAATAGCTTTCAGCTAGTCTCTCAAACACGATTAACTAAAAAAGAAAACATCTTACAACTTTGAAAGCAACAAGAAGGTGTAGATAGGCCTTAAATTGGTTTTAAGACAAGATGAAGATGTAACTTAGTCTTGAAAATAATTTAATAAGTTTTCTGTTATTTGAGATTCTATATTAAAATTGAGTGGCAGCGTTACAGTTTCGTGTGATTTGACCTTTAAAATATTTCTAGTTTGCTTAGATATTAAATTGTTCAAATATTTTCATACCTAAAAAGATAATGGTGAATGTAGTTGATAATAAAGGTAAAATTAGGTCCAAATATAGAATAGCCAAAACATGAATGAGTGACATACTCACGTACATACACGTATTAGATACAGTATAGTTATCTACAAGAATTTTGATTAAATGAACATTATACATCGTCTCTTCGTCAACTATAATACGGTGTATTCACCAACGATCATCTTTAAGCCACAACTTCTGAGTATTAATTAGCTTTGTTAACCCTCTTGAGTCTTGAGTATCATCATCGGTTCATCACAATAAGGAATTGGCCTAAACTATGTTGCTATGGTGCGCATTTAACCCAAAATTATAGTTATGTGGACAGATAAATAGTTTTTTTTTTTGTTTTTTTTTTTTTTTTTTTTTTTTTTTTGTAAAAGAATAGGAAGGTACTACTCACACTTTACTAGAAAAGGTTGCAACACATGTAGTACATTCCTTGAGAAGAGCAATCAGTTTAACACCTGAAGAAGCTTGTGAAAGTTTGACACTTGTTTCATAGTCTCCGTTGACTTTTTATTGAAAGTCACCCCATCTAAAAACCATTTCCTTCAATGCTTTTCCATGGTGCAGGAAGAAGCATGCAAGATCTAGTTGCGAATCTTGTCCATTGAAATTAAGATGCTCCACCTTTTTTAGTTGATGAGTAAATATTCTCATTGTTGCAGCATCATTTAGCTTCTGGCGTACAATGATTCTAGATCGTCAAACAAAAGCTTAAGTTTTACATTTTGAGGTGCAAAATCGGAGTTCATGTTTGGAATTCTTGAGATGCGTATTCATTGGCTCAATTGTTAAAGCTTGCAAAAAGATAATGTAAAAGTTGTTTGTTTAAATCTAATCCTTTTCACCTGAAAGTGATCTGCTTCAAGATTGTGTCTAAGGTTTATGATAATTTGTCTAAAAACCTAAATGGGAAGTTAAATGGCAAAGATTACGTTACTGATCATTACAAAAATTTAAAAACAATAAATAGATTTATATTTATTTACCAAAACTCAAAGCAAGTACTTTGCTGTTTCTTGAGCCATTCTATTTGCATTTAAAAAAAGATTTATTAGTTGCCAAAAGTACAAATGAGACAAGACTGCATTGAAAAAATTAGTTTATAAAGGATTCAAAACAAAAATAATGTACAGATTGAAGATCCCAACAAGATCCTAATCGGAATTAACAGATTTAATCTGATGTAAAACGAAAGAAAATAAGATGATCAAAAAAAGAAAACTAATCATATTTAACAGATCGAACCTACTGTAAAACCAAAGAAAAAAAAGATTATGGAGTATAACAGATTTAACATCCTACTTTGAAGCAGCAGAATACGTGGGTAAATTTCATGTTTAATATCCTGCTTTAGAGCATAAGTAGAAACCAATTGACAAAAGCATCCTACTTATTGACTTTAAATATGTAATGCAATGAGCCAACAAATTTGTAACTGGCACTGGAAAAACATTAGACAACATCATACTCCAAAACTCAACAGTATATATGTTGGTCAAGAGTCAAGACAAAAGCATACCAAGAAAAATGCCATAGTTCATAGAAGAAGAGATATTAGTAAGAAAAATGAAGCTTCAAAACTACTATAGAATAGATGGTTTGGAGTAACAACTGATAATAATTCACCATATAGCATGAAACAGCCAATAGATAAATATTTTGACATAAGAAATAATCCATTAAACATGTGTACTCTACTTTATAAAATAGATCAGAAAATAGTTGTGGATAATTTAAAGCACCATCAATAACAAGGTCATGCAAGAGCAGCTCCCTATATGATCCGTTGTCGAACCAATCACCTTAATCCTCCTGCAAGCTTCACATTTGATGGAGAAACAAAACCTTTAGCTTCCAAACCAGAAAGAACCTACCAACCAAACAAAAACAAGACAACAACAAAAGTGACAGAAAAAAAAATATAATTGAAGAGTATTTTTTTTTTACCTTAGAACATACAACCCCAAGTTGAAGCTCCTTGACATGGCGAAGATTCATTATACACCCTTTAAGCAACTCTTCTTCCACTTCATTAGGTTTTTTCTGGCGATGCTCAAGCTTTGTAAAACTAAAATCTAAGTGAGCTTTGACAAAAGAAGACACATTCAGCAACAAAGGTTTACACAAAAAATTCCAACCTTCCATTGTTAGGGATGAAATATTAGGAGCATTGATTTCGATCATATCAGCTTCAAATCCACCATAAGGAACCTCATATCCACATAACACCAAGTTTTTAACGCTCTTTGAAGTAATATTGAGCCTCCTAAAACCATAGCAATCATCCAACTCCAAAGTTTCCAATACAGGACTCCCACATAATATATTTTCAATCAAATCTTCATCTAAACTAATATGCTCAGATATACACAAGCTCTGAAGACTTTTCCAACTAATCGCCCCTACTGGATTAAGCATGCACCCACCTACTCTCAGCTCAGTAAAACATGAACTGGTGAAAACAATCTGATCTAACACAAACTCATCATCATATGCGTGATTCCAGAGCCTCAAGTTAAGATCTTCAACATTACATCTTATAGCATAGAGAATCAAATTGTTGAGCTGCGATTGAAATTGAATATCATAATGGGCGTACAGTTTGAATTTCTTTAGCAGCTTCAGTTGGCGACATTGAGTTAGTGATAAACTAGTAGGAACACATTTTCTGATGATATCACTGGCTTCAGATTCTGAAGTAATATTGAGCCACCTGCAGTATTCAAACACCAAAGTTCCCAATAGAGGACTCCCGGATACTATATTTACAATCAAGTCTTCATCTACATTCACCCCGGAAATACACAAACTCCTAACATTTTCCCAACTAATCGCCCCACTTGAATTCACTTTGCATCCTGCTAGTCTCAGATCAGTAAAGCATGAATTGATGAATATAAATTCATTTAACAGAAACTCAGTTTCACTCCCCCAAAACTCCAAGTTAAGCTCTTCAACGTTACAGCTTATAGCATAACGAATCCAATTGTTAAACTGCGATTCAAATCGGGTATCATAATAGGTATGCAGTATGAATTTCTTGAGCTTTATTTGGCGACATTGAGTTAGGGTTTTGTCGACCAATAATGGGAATTCGTCCCTTGGCTTGGAGTTTTGAAGACGTTGAGTTGGTGGACCAGTTTTAGTTGAAAAAATTAGAGTAGGTACCCAAGTCCAAAGATGTTCCCATCGCTTGGAGAGCGTACCTGTTCTAATTGCGTCTTTTGTGGAGGGTAATCGAGAGAGGATTTCAAGAAGCAAACAATCCGGCAAAGCACTGATTCCATCATCATCCCTTTTTACCATGATTTCTTGATGTTTAATCCGTTTGTGGGCAATTTTACCTTGATTTTGTCTTCTGCGACAGAGCCCTCGCTGCTTTCCCATCAAGAACCGCAGAAAACTCAATTGTCGTATATGTATAGTTTTATCCCATTCACAAATTTCAATGGATTTTCTATATGTACCTTTAATTACCTATCCTCCTCTCATTTAAATTTTTGTTTTTTATTGTTTTTTTTCTTCCTATTTTATTTTTTTTTATTGTTTTTAATTTCATTTTAATTTTATTATTATTATTATTATTATTATTATTATTATTATTATTAGTAGTAGTAGTATTATTAGACAAAATTATAAGAATGGTCCTGTGGTATATCGAAAATTGCCAGTTTGGGACAAACAGGTTTTGACTAGTACAAATTGTTTAAAAGTTTTCATTTTGTTGCTAGTTTGGTCCATTCTGCTTTAATTTTTTTATAAAATGACAAATTTGTCCTCTTAAATTTCTTTTTTTCATTTTTGTATTACAAAAATAAAAGAAAAAATACCCTTTTTCTCTCACTCACTCACTTTCACATTCTCTCTCTCTCTCTCTCTCTCTCTCTCTCTCTCTATATATATATATATATATATATATATATATATATATATATATATATATATATATATATATATCGTTTCTTGCTTACCACCGACAAAAAAAGAAGAAATTGGCGGTTCTCGCAAGACTAGGCTGCCCCTCCGCCTCCCTCCAGTCAGGTAGCATCGCCCCAAATACCCACTTCGATCGTTGATGTGCTCCCTTTGAATCTCAACAGTTGACAACGAGAGAAAGGAAATTGAGATCTGAAGTTGGGGTTTCTTGGCGGCTAGGGTTTTCAGATGGGTGCTTCGTGATTGGAAATCAAGGCGGAGAAACCTGTGATGTGTTCTTTAGATTTCATGTGTTTGTATGTTCATCTGATTTCGTGTGTGTTTGTTCATCTGTGAGTGGTGGCGGATGGTGGTGGTAGTGGCGAACGGTGGTCGAACAGTGGTGATGGTAGATGTTCTTGAGTGTTCTTGAGGAAGAAGAAGAAGATGGGTAAGAAGATGTGTCTAGGATAAATAACATGAGAGAGAGAGAGAGGGTATGTGAAAGTGGGTAAGTGAGAGAGAAAGGATATTTTTTTCTTTTATTTTTTATTTTCTTCTTTTACTTGTGTAATACAAAACTGAAAAAAGAAAAAAAATTAAAGCAAAATTGATCAAACTAGCAACAAAATAGAAACTTTTGGACCATTTATGCTAGCCAAAACATGTTTGGCCCAAAGTGGTAATTTTCGATATACCACAATATTATTATTATTATTATTATTATTATTATTATTATTATTATAAATTTCGAACAAAATTCTATAATTCCGACAACATTATAAATTCGAACGACTATATAAAATCGGTTTTTAATTATTTTTTATTTTATATTTATTATTATTATAGATTTCGAACAACATTTTATAAATCGAACGACATTATAAATTCCAACGGTTATATGAAATCGGAGTATAATGTCATTCGATTTATAAAATGTTGCTCGAAATTTATAATAATAATAATAATAATAATAATAATAATATAAAATAAACTTTTCCATGGCAGTTCTTTATCTCCCCCACGTTCTCAACGATCGCCGCTTGTCTCCTCACCCAACAATTCAATTGGTTATTAAACTCAGTTACGCGTTGAACCTCCTCCCATTACGTCTTCAACCCCCCCCCCCACCCCACCCCACCCCACCCTAACTTTTCCATAATCCCTAAACATTAGGTAGTTGTAGGTAACTGTTATGCCTATATAAGATATAAGAGGTCACTTTGAATGTAGTCGTCGTTCCATAAATTGCTTGAAATCTATCTATCGTCTGATCAATCATGGACCACAAATTGGTTGACAACCATTTTTCGTTTGAAGAAATGACACCCAAGGTAAATTTCTTCAACAGACGTATGGTTTTTGATTTGTTTGGAAATTTATACTTCTTTTACTTTTGAATTGTAGGTATCTGAATTCAAAATTGATATAATCGTTGGTTTCATTTATTGTTGAACCTAACTATCGTTTAATTTTGGAATTTGCTATATTTTTTGATATATGATTTCAATTTGGGGATTTGGGGATTAGAAAAACCATTACACCATCTAAAACAAGTTTTAATAAACCAAAACAGTTTAGGGTAATGATTCTGGTCCATTTCCAGCAGCAAAACTCGAAAATCTGGTCACATGGGCTTCTACTCGTCGAGTACATGAACTAACTCGACGAGTAGTATGCATTTCTTCGTGAACTCTTCGAGTCCCCCCATGGACTCGTCGAGTTCATACGAGCTGTGAACAAAAACTTCGATTTTCAAGCATTTTGCATCAAGTATCAAGTAAACAAGCCTAGGCTCTGATACCACTGATGGGTTTTTGAGCATTCTAACACTCCTATGGTGTACATGCAACCCTAGAAACCTTAGATCTATGTTTTACTAAGATACATACAAAATTGATTTTCCAAGGTTCTTATCCTAACTAGCATGGCATGGGGAACATTGAAAACATAAAGCTAGTAGAAGAACATACCTTTTTCCTTGTTGCTTGAATTCCTTGAGAACTTTGTGAGCCTAGCACCTCAAGTGTGATGCCTCAAATGTTTCACACAACACCACTAACTTTGGAATAACTTTTAGAGAGTAATACTACACTTGCAAAATCGGCTAGCGCTCTTATTCTCTTCTAGTGGCCGATTTTGCTAGGCTAGGGGTTCCTTTTATAGTGTTGTCAATTGTAGGTTACATAATGTAAACCCTAATTGACATGGCTTTCCATATTCCTCGATCCATGGGTTTATAACCTCAATGGACTATCCATGGAGCACCTTATTGGGTTTAACCCAATCTAATAAACCATGGATCATTAGCCTAGTATTTAAGAATAGATTATTTACATAATCAACCCCATGTATTTAATTAGTCTCCTTTTGATCATTTAATCAATTCTAAATTAATTCTTGATCAATACCAATCAAATATTATTATTAATATATTAGAACTTATAATTTATTAATAACCTTAAGTGTTATTTCTCTTATATAGTCTATCCAAATGTTAGGATGCCATGCAACCCAAATGGACCATGCCGGGTTGGGTCAAGTACATACCAAATATAGTTATGGACTTAGACACTATATCCAACACAAAGTATATAGAATGTCATATGTGGTATACTAAGAAGACTCACCTGAATCAAAGAACCTAAGAAGCATAACAACACTCTCACTCCTTGTACTGACCAATCTCGCGAACCGACTAACATCAAATGAAGATCAATCCTTAATCATCAACTCAAATCCTTCAACTTTGACCTAATGTCAACTGGTCAAAAGTCAACATTCAACCAAGTCAATGGTCTCCATAACATGGAGACCTATTGGCCACATCGTGGTTACAAGCAGATTGCTATTTTCTTCATTAAGAACTTAATCCTTGCGCCCCGCTCCCGAGTTCAACTTAAGGAGAGAAAAGAAAGGAAATGGGAGGAAGTAAGAGGAAAGTTAGAGAGATTAATGCTCCCGATTTTCATTAAAGGAAGGAAGTGGAAGGAAATTGAAGGATCACTTTCCCTCTTAACTTTCCTTCCTATCTGGGAGGATTTGGAAAGAAAGAACAAAATGTTTAACTTTCCTTTCATTTCTCTCCAACTCGGGAGCACAAAAGAGAAATTTGTTTACCTTTCTTTTATATTCTTTTCTCTCCTTACTTTCGTTTCTCTTCTCTTCTTTTCTTTGCTACAACTCGGGAGCGGGGTGTAATAGATCTAAGCCTATAAATTTATATCTAATACTTTTCAACGACTTAATGGATAAAGTTTCCAACTTTATCCATTAGGACCTCACCCCAAAGCAACATCTACAATGCTAAGTCCATTAAGTCCTTAATATGTCAAAAATTGTGCATGGAACAAAGGAACCCATGACCTAACACTTTTTCCACAAAGTTAAGTCTAGAAATGGTCACAAAGTTAAGTCTAGAAATGGTCACAAAGCAAGTCTAAACTTCTGGAGTCGCCCAAAACTCCAACAACATCCCTTCGTAGGACTTCAAAGCATGAAATGAGAAACAAGAATGATAATGGTGGAAGCTTTATACCTTCCAAAGCTCCACAAGATGTAATAGATGCAAGATCTGAAGTAGATACAATCTTTCAATCAATAAGCATTGTAATCCAAGCCTTAAAACATCCAAATCATCACATAAACATTGAGAACACTCAATTGGGGATAGGGTTTTTGTAACACCCGTAAAATTCAAGTCAATTTAAAACATTTAAAAACCATTAAGTTATTACAATTTGTTTTCAAAATATTTTAAGCATGAGAGTATCCCCAGAATCAGATCATGAAAATATGAGAAGATGTACGATCACGCCTTTGCCTTCCCGCGTTCATCAAAAATACCTGAAACAATAAACGATAAAATGTAAGCTCGAAGGCTTAGTGAGTTACCCCCAAAATACCAACCCATACTAACCAAAAAAAATATCATATCAATACAAATATAGAACAACATGCATCATGAGCCTTCAGCATGACTGGACCGCCTCCTACGGGCCTACAGCCTATCTGGACCACTCCCGAGCCTTCGACATGACTTGACCGCCTCCTACGAGCCTACAGCCTATCCGGACCGCTCCCTGGGCCTTTGGCATGACTGGACCGCCTCCTACGGGCCTACAGCCTATCCGGACCGCCCCGGGTATGTTGGCCTCAACCGCACAAAGCAGGACACCGCCTCAACCCAACCCCCAAACAAACAATCATGTGCACATAGATAACATACAAACAATATCATGCATATAACAGTCAAACCAATCTAGCAGATCTCTACCCATAAAACTCTCTTGTAAACAGGATACCGACCTAACAGGATCACTGAGCATAACATATCCCCATCCCAACTACCAGGATGTAAATCAGTAAGAATATCATACGATAATTCGATTACAATCCATAAGGACCGGCCTTGGTGCCTTAGACCCTGTTGATATATTGAGGATAACTCACGTGGCACTGCTGAAGTCCCG